TATGCTGCATATTTGTTATTAGATTAGACACTGATTATTATATGTAAAATAAAACGCTAAGCCTGAAATAAAAAAAAAGCGCTAATAATTTGAACCAGCCAATGGAAGCAAGCCACGTTATCATATTCTCCAACAAATCCCTGGTTCGTTTACCTGCGGATTTTTATCCGCAGGAAAGTTCGTAGCTTGCTTCCAAAATTCACCCTAGGCCATGGAAATAAAATCTAAGAGAACCAATACGTTCGTCTCTTCCTCCTGATTATCCCTATACCCATCATTAGCATTGATTTTTCCTATATCGAAAAGGCCTAAAAAACAAGAACAAGAACCCTAGGCTCGGGCATTACAGTACAGGCCATGAAAATCAAATTAAATAATGCAAAATTGTTAGAATTTGAACGTTAAGCATGATGGTGCAAGTAAATTGGCAAAAAGATGCAAGAAAAATGATTTACGATGCCATGTTCAGAGCCATATTCAAGGATACTTACAGCGTGTTTCAGATGGTCTCAAGGTCCGGTTTTGGTTGCTATAGCTTCAGGAGGTTGCTGGCAAGAGAGCTACGTTGAGATCTTGCTTTGAAAACGCCTCCAAACAAGAATTCAATCTCCACTTTTTTCAAGATTTTTTCAATTCTGAGTTGGCCGTTTTTGCAGTCTATGGGGCGTATTCTTGCTATGCTTGGCTTGTGTGTACATAAAGGAATGAAATAGGTTAATCACTTGGGCTTGAATCCATAGGAATTGAATATTGGAGATTTGGTTTTGATCACCATTATCAAGTTTCCAAATATATGCCAAATCTGATTTTTTATGCATGAAAAGCCTTGATACGAATTTGATTTGATGAATCATGATAATTGAAAGCTGCAATGACCACAAGAATCTCATTACATCAATTTTTAGATTTTATTTGATTTAATATTGATTTAAAATGAATTAAATCAATAAAAATTAAATAAAATAGAAAAATAAATAAATGTACATGAAATTAAAGATGGGACACGTGTGTGGCATGAAAAGACCATATCAAGTGGAAAAAAGCGGGCCCTTTTGTCAAAAATTGGAGTTTTGAGGATAGTTGACTTTTGGCCATTTTGGAAAAATGCCCAACTTCAACAATGCATAACTTCTTCAATTTTGAACTTTTAGAGGTGTTCTTTGACTTTTTAGAAACCTTGAGATATCCTCTAACCAACCTTTTTGGTCTCATCTCATTTTGATATTCATTTCTCAAGTTATAAGCTTTGACAAAAAAGGTGTTTTTGTTGACTTTCAAAAAGACCTATAATGTCCAAATTTGTAACTTCTTGTGAGTGCATTTCTTGATCTTGGGGTGTGAAGATGGATTGTAGGAGACTGCATCCTCTTCAAAATGAGCTTTGGATGGGTAATTTCTCATAAAGTATGAGAAAGTTATGCTTGGTCAAAGTTGAGTTGACTTTTCCTGCAAAACCCTAATTTAGCAACTTTTGAATCTTGATGAATCTTGAGCAATCCTTGATGAATAATGATCAACCATTGATAAAATGATGAATTATCCTTCAAAATGAGAATATTGACAAAAAATCTTGAGGTTTGACTGTATTTGGGACACAGTTGACTTTTGCTCTAGCACAGTCGATTTTTAGACTTCTTGAGCAATTGACTGACCAAACTTTCTCTGCAAGGCTTGAAATTTGTCATGGATGAACTTAAGAACATATTAGGACATTGGGGAGCACTTGAGGTCATTTGGATGTAAGGACCTTGATTCAACACAAAACCCTAATTTTGAATTGACTGTCTTAGGAGGTGATTTGACTGTCCAACTCTTGAACAATCTTGGAGATGATTCTTGACATGTCGTGAGAAATATGGGAGAGAAATTTTTGGGGTAAAACACTATCCCATACAATTTTGATGCACCCATCAACCAAGTTGAAGAGGAAGATGATGAAGATCTTGAACTTTCTAAAGAAGTTCAAAATAGATTATTAAATGAGAGATTTTGGAAAAAGTTAAGTTCAAAATAGCTTAATATTTTAGAACTAGAAGGTTATTTGAATAGTATTAATGGATTCATTGACAAAAATGCACATAAGTTTGTTAACCCTTTTGTTGAATTATTAGGTGTGGCCTCCAATTGGAAAGAAGAAGTTTGAGACACTTTCATATTTGCCACCATTGACCAGAGACAATTGTTGAAAGAAGTTGAATACCTTCTCAGGAAGGGATGGGTTCCTTACTTGGAATTTGAGTTGGAGGTTTAATATTATTCATTACTTTTTCAATTATATTATATACATAATTTTGTTTAAGAGTCTTATGAGTTGATTTTGACTACTTGGTTGCAGAAAGGATTTGTGTACCGTGAGCACAACAGCTCACCGGGATACTATGATGGAAGATATTGGACAATGTGGAAGCTTCCTATGTTTGGTACCACTGAGGCTTCTCAAGTCTTGAAGAAGCCTGATGAATTTATTACGGCTTACCCTGAAGCTTTCGTTCGTATCATTGGTTTCGACAATGTTCGTCAAGTTCAATGCATCAGTTTCATTGCACACACACCTGAAACTTACTAAGTTTAAGTATTATGGAATTGGAAACGCTGTTTTTCTTCTATCATTTGTCCTTGTAATTTATTGTGTCTTTTTTTTCCGGTTTTTTTGCTTTCGGACATGAAAATTCAAATGGATGGATAAGAGTTAATAAATGATATGATCCTTTTGTTCATTCTCAAATTAATATTATCTGTTTTTTTTTTGTTGCTTTAATGGTTTGAGTTTAAGTAATAAAGGAATTGACATTGTGATATTAAGGTGCAATGTTAGAGATATAAAACAAGTCTTTCACCTCTCTGATATTAAGCCACTATTTTCAAATCATATTTGAAGTTTTGATTGGACTTGATGAACCTCTCTTACAACCAAAATAGAACATTTTTTCTTGATGTACCAGAATCTCAATATTTGTCTAATTATTCTAGCTGAGAGCCATAATTCCGGCTTACTATTTTGAATAATCCTGGCTTACTATTTTGAAAAAGGTGTAAGTAGAATTTCATCTAACAATCATAAATAATATGTCAATCATGTATTTTTCAACTTCACGAATAAGAATACTTTAAGAAAATGATGTTTTCAAAAGGAAAAATCGCCATTTACTTGAAGTTGTTCGATCTCTTTTATTTCAAATGTAAGTTCTCAACTATTATAGAGGAGAGACAATATTTACAACTTTCTATCTAATCTATTGGATCTCATTTCGAGTCTTAAATAGTGTTAGTCTTGTACAATTTATGCTTTCACATTTTCCCTCTATTTTCATATTACAAAATTTTAAGTCTCATGTATTTGGTTGTGTTACATTTGTTCATGTGCATAAACAATATAAGACACGATGTTGTAGGTCTTCTTTCCCATTTGCACCAAGCAAACCCTAGAACCAATGAAGTTATTCTCCTTCTCCTGAAAATCATAGATATTATATCAATTTCACGCTCCAAGCTTCACGCGACCATGTCCCAATATTCAACATCAAGTAATCAATCTGTTTCTCGCTCCAATCATGTCGAATGCAAATATGGTCTTCCATCTCCGTTGATGACGACTTGGACATATTTGAACCAAGGGCGTCAGTTCTTGACTGTGGAATGTACAAGGTATTAGTTTCATTTGTAAAATCTATGAACAAGTTTATTTTGTGAATTTCCAAAAAATCTATCACTGTTCTTCTCTATTTCTAGAGTCAGGAATATAATAAGTGTAGTCACTTCGTCTGGTATGAGGAAGAGATGTCTCAAAGAGCCAAGGAAGTAATATCTTCAATGCATCAAAAATTAAACCAAGAAAAGTTCAAGCTAATTGAAGCCATTATTAGAGAGGCTTAATTGAAGTTGAAAATCAAGTTTTTGAAGATGATGAACAAATTTACCATGGGAATGATATTAGTTTTATTAATTGGATTGATTGTATCAAATATAATCAATTATGGTTTAGGCTAAGTTGAATAGATTGATAATGTTAGGTTGATTATGCTAAGTTTGTATGTTAGGTATGTTATGTATGTTAAGTTGATAAAGTTAGGTATCAAATGTAATAAACACATTTTTGTATAATTTGAATGAGTTTATTATGTTAAGTTGAATGAAATGAACACAATTTCTGTGTAATTGATTGTATTGAGTTTATGTTCAATCTTAACAGTACATTGAATATAGTTTAGCATTATAGGCCTGGAAATTTTTATGTGTAAGTTGGACAAAATAACAACTCTGCAACATATGACCTGTAGAACATGACCTATAATTTCTAACGTTGCAATATAACCTGTAATATTTAACATTTCAGACCTGTAATATATAATATGTAATCTGTAATTTCAGACCTATAACCAGTTCAATTTTTGTGTAATTCTAGAACAAAAATTTCAAAACACAATTTAACCTTGACATTTCATAACTTTGTTCATAACAACTCCAATATTCTGTTGGCACCTCTTTGATGTCCTTCCAAGAAGCTTCGTTTAACCCTTTGATCCTTAACATTATCCTCTCCCATCCTTAAATAGTTGTAGCTCTTGCAGCACTCCATAATGCTTCTTTCAATTCCATTCCAGGGTACTTCTTTTTCCAATTGACATACAAATGCTTCACACATAGCCTTTGTTCCACATGCTCACTCAAACCTTGACTTGATAAGATCATTAACATATGTTCTTAGATGTGTGAACTGGTCCCTTCCCTCTTCTTGAATAGTCTCCACTGCTCTTCCCTTAGCTCTATAAGCCTGATCAGATGACATTTTAACACCCTATCTCTCAAAGCACAAAGCTACTAGTCCAACTAGCTTCATGTCAGGACTATGCCTTAGTATATGGCTAAATTGCTTTCCTAACCATTAAGTCTTTTCTTGTCTATTTTGGTATGTTCTATGACAAGTATGGTCATCATATAAAGTCACTACTTGCCAATATTGGTTACCAACCCTCTTGCCAATTCTTATGTAAGTCTTGCATTCAGCAACACACTTCCGCAAACTTCTTAGCAGTACACTGAACTTCATCATCATCGGAAATTATGTCATGCCCTATTTCCGCCTCATCTATAATGTTAGGTTCACTAATGTTATGCTCAACATATAAATCTACTAACTCACAACCATCAACATCTTTAATCAGTTGCAACACATCATTATCACAGTTAAGTGTTCTAAGGCCACGAGTAAAGTTAAACCTAGGGTTCCAATACCATATACACTTAATATATCTATACCCCCTTTCTTAATCAAATCCAACAATTCCATATAGGACATATAGTCAACATACTATTTCCAACTTATTTCTGAAACAAACCCACCAACATACAATATCACAGGGGTGTCAACAAGTTTACCTCCATGATGGATTCTAAACTTAATTGTTTGACACATAAATGGCATGGAATAGATAATACATACGAGTTAGAATGAGACCGCAGACAATACTTTAAAAACGAAGAACTATAGGACTACAAACCCTAAAAGTCAAAGGACCACAAACCCTAAAAGACTAAGGATCCCAAACTCCAAAACACAATGGAACCACCATGTACATTAAAAAAAGCACACAACCTAGTTTCTATCGTGGGAGGAAAAATAATACATACCTGAGATATAATTTAACCTCTTCGTTGCTTTTCTCGGTTGTGAGGGAATCTTGTCCATAACTATTCCTGAATCTTGATAAAGAGTGGTGACACTGAACGATTATGGAAGTACGAATCTACCTATTCCTGAATCACGAGTTTTGGGTTTGGAGATTTGTGAACGAATGGATTTAGGGTTCTTCAGAAGGAAGGGGATGATATGAGGCATAAGACGTTAGGGTATTACCACCACGATAAGGGTTTTATAAGTTTAATGAATCTAGTTATTAATATTTAATTAAAAAACATATTTTCTAAATGATTTTATTAGTTTTTTAATATAAAATCAGATTATCATGTTTTTAAATGATGTGGCAGATAATTTTTTAAACTTGGTCAGTTATTCCTTTGTCCCGTCATAAATGAAGCTGCCACATAACTAAATTTGAGAGAGGGCAAAAAAAATTCCAAGAATATTCAAAAGATGAGACTTAATATATGGTTTTTTTTAATGGGGGACTATTAAGTTAGAAAAACAAATATGGGGGACCAAAACT